AGGTAAACCTATAATATCAATATTGCGATAACGAGGCGTTACGCGACAAATTTAATCGACCTGACCGATTCACTTCTTTCTCCTCGTACCCGATTACTCAGCCATCCGATGTATACGACGAAGAAAACGAGAGAAAAACTTCGAGAAGCTCCCACGAACTGATGGCGAGAGCAAGGGACAACATAAAGGCGAACAGTCGTTTCAGCCTTCGAGGCGTCCCAGAATCGTATTTCCTTCAATCTCGATCGTCCTTGCGAAACATGGACCATTTTCCCGAGAAAAGAGCGATCGGAGAAAAAGAATTTATCAACCGGTCGCACGACACCAGCGGCACGTTCTTTTATCGACCACGCCGCGTCGTCTTATCTCTCTTTTTCTCTCTGTCTGGCTGAAATATGCGATGTTCTGTTTCATGCAGTACACTTCAAGGTCGCGAGATGCTTGGACGAGATCCGAGGATTCATGTATCTCGAGAGGAAACGGAGCGTACGATTAAAACGCACGTTGCAACTGACCTTCGAACGTCGAGACGGAAGGATGCTTCAGATCCTAAATCCGAGAACCGGCAGAACTCCATTCATGTTCACCAAGCGTCTTATCACATCCGGAAGCAGTCGTTATCGTACCAGCAGGATGTACAATCGAGCACCGACGAGAAGAGAATTTTTTAATCAATTTTTTGGAGACGATTTTCGGAAACACTTGAAATCACGCGCAATTCGATCACGAGATTTTCAGCGAAGACCACACGTCCGTCGAGCTGGATCGGCGAGCAAGAAGTATTTCAGAGAGAGGCGGGTGCGCGTTATCGTAGCGGCGAAATGGAAAACACTTGGTCCCGATGATAAGCCAGTTATCGGGAATTATCAGCGCGCGGTGACGAACAGACGAAACCGTGGCGTGCGTGATCCATCGAGGAAGTCGGAACAACGCGCACCACACGCACTTACGTACACTCTTTCGTTTCGAAGTTGATCCGAACGGCACGAAAGCTTGCCAAGAACTGGCAGGACACAATTTTCGTAGGGTGGAAGAAGGGCAGGTAGAAGGTCCTACTCGGAGACGCCGCGTGAAAGGATCCTCTCCCGGTTTATGTACCCATACGCGGCCCACAATAAGACCCACCCCGGTTCTCAACTTGCTTAGACAGCTTTCTTTTTATTACCATAGAACTTCGTTTCCACCGGTTTTATCATATGTTTCCTAGTGCCAAGGATTTGCCCTTTTATGAGACGACCGAGTGCAATTACTTTAATACTTTGTCCTGTGATGGTTTTTTTTTACAGCTGTTTACGGTATTTGTTTTCTTTTGGAAAAATTCGACAATTGAATGGTTACTTTAGTGATTATAGGTTTAGTCATCGTAGATAGAGTTACTAATATTGGCTGTGGTGATGTATAAAGTGTGATTTCCGTTAAATAGATCGGTGACAAATTCCGTTCACGGAATGTTCTTGTTTAGAGACGATTGAAGGGAATATCAGATTCGGAGAAATATAGCGGATTATTGCATATGTTAACGTATTCAACGTACTTGTTAGCACGTGGTCAATTTTGATTGATTTATTTTGGGGAAAACAACTGGCAATCTTATCGGTTGTTGGGAATCATATTCTTCTAAAGAAACACATTATTCACGACGATTACACAAACTCCCGAAGCACGAGATAGCACACTGTTTGCAGCTTGTTGACCTCGAAAATGTAGCTCGTGGCTGTTTTCTCTTCCTCGAGTTAAAAATGAAGACGAAAGTAAGACTGATGACCGCGATATTGGAGTTTGGAATACTTCATCTTCTTCCCATCGTCTCGAAGAAACACTGAAGTCGATGGAATAATTTGGAAATAATTGTTCCTTTTACGATTTCAATAAATAATTGATGTCAAAGAATTCGCGTAAAACTGTAACTTCTTTTTCGTTCGCGAAAAGTCATCAAGAGAAAATGATCAACAATTCGTCTGGCTCGAGGCAACTGTGTTTTTCGACACTGTCAAATTGTTTGCTCGACGCGGGAGACAGGAAGGGATTATACAACGACCGATGTAGAGATATGGGACTAGCGTGTTCGCGATAAGAGCGGCTCGCAGAAGCTTCGCGTTTCGAATCATCTGTATTGCGTAAGATCTCATGGTACGCCGCAGCCACCGTGAAAAATTCCATGTCATCGAGCTCTTTACGCTCGGCATTCTCGAGTACGATCTCTATCGGAAGCAATCACGGCTCCCCTCAAGGACGAACGATTCTCTTTTATCAAAACGACCGCACGGAAATGTGAATAAGACGTGGGAAATTGCGAACAGAGATATTCCACGATCAACTCAAACTAAACTTATCACCAACAGACCTCAAATTCGAGGCAAGAATATATAAAAATAATGTAAGTAACACGAATACATTTACTACAACCCAATAAACTTTCAATATTCATTCGAACCATGAAAATTGTCGTCTAAAAATACTTTCTTTCAATTCATAAAGTCTTTCCATAAAAAATCCATTCTGCTGTATTAAAAAGAAAAAGAAAATTTCAAAATTACCACCTCAATCTAAATTTCCCTAAAACCGAAATATTTCGAAGAACAGATCTACGATTTCTATATCGAACAGAATCGTTCCAGGTTGAGAACAAGCGTGAAATGAGAGACCCTGAGGCAGGCACACCAAGTACACAGAAGTGCGGGGCAGGTTTTCGGTGACTGTCAGGGCTGTAACACGCACAAAAGGCAGGTGCTGGAATGCATTGATTGCCTCTGTCCCTCCCCGATCCCTCTTCTTCATGCTCTGTCTCTCTCTAGATCTCTCTATCTCCCTTCCTCTCTTTTTCTCAACGTCCGCATGTCCCTACTACCCGTATCTGGTCTGGGAACCACCCTTCTCTCCCAGGGAACGCAGGGGAGACCCCTAGAGACCCCGGGAGAACTCGTTTTCCTTCTTTCGTTCGCTCTCTCCTCGGATTATCCCTTTTTTCTCGGGACGAGGGTGGCCCCCGCTGATCGACTCGCGTTAGCCTGCTTTTTCCCCCGACTTCTCCTCGTTTTGCTTTCCATATCAGGTCGCCCGAGCATTTGTTATTCGAACCCGAACCGAGAACGAATGATCGACGTTCCACTGACAGATAAAACGATCTCAACCGGTCTGCTGTCTCTGCGTCGAGGCTCGGAACGGTTCCGAAATGAAATTATACCTAACCTGAACCTCTTATTAATTGTGTCTCTAGACGATATTGTGCGTCCCGAGTGTTTCCATTGAGAGACCTTCCGCACTGATCCATTGAGCATGGAAGTATTATTTAGGGATTTACTCTAGTGACATTCTTTTGTGCGATTGAAAGTTGTATCTTCTTTTGTTTGAAGTAGTTAAGAGCTTTCATCATTCAACTCTTTCTCGAACATTTATTCATGAACTGTTTATTTACGCATATTCATAGATATCATGAAATTCGGAATGCTCCGGAGACGAGTAAATAAACTTTCAGTTCATAGGACAGTAAAAGCACAATTTGAAATTGTGGGTAATATGTCGACTGTAGTTTCCAACGTTTCGAGAATTCGAGGAATTGGCGGTAGAATTCGATGCAATTTTATGAGATGTTAATAGGGCACGGACTCTAGCTTTGGAAAATTTCCTGGTTTCCGCGGGACTGAGGGCACAAAGTTCCCGTGAAAATCCGCAAAGGGAGCTCTACCCTTCGTGCGGCTGTGGCGCATGCGGTTTTCCAGAGAAATACTTGCTTTCTACAGACCTCCGTCCGCTTGGAAATGTACTGAATTATTCTGCCAGTAGGGTACGAAACGACTATCGCTTGGCCTGTGTGTTTCAAATGGAACGGAGCACGGCCCTTTTACTCTCGACTGCCCTCAGAGATACCAGGGTTTTCATACAAACAATTGTGAAAGTATTTCTACATTTATTACACTGCTACAGGAATGATTGTGACCTCAGCATCGTTGAACATTTACGTGGAAGACACTGAAGGATATATTCATCGAAAATACTTAATTGGAATATCGTCCTGTCGACATCGATTAAAATTTCCTGTTCAAATAAAACCAATCTTTCATTTCATTATTTCGAAATAATGGGTGAGATTGTCGTGTCGAGGAAAGAGATGGGTTAAGCAAATTCGTAATCAGACTCTTCAACTTCGTAATCGAATCACGGAGAACTCGAAACAAGTCCGGCATCCCCACCAATTGTTTTATCCCCATCGAGCGACCTTAATCGAATCGCCCACGCTTCCACCCCAAGACAATTTCCCGGAAAACTCGAGCTGCCGGGATAGGGGATTGAAAAGCAACGATCGTTGATTTTAGTCGGCCCTGAGGGGGGTTTTCTCCTTGGGGCTGAATTCCGATTTCCTTGTTATTAATCTCCACCCAGTACCCCACAGAACTGTATCATAATCATTCTTGGGTTGCAGGGGTTTGACTATACTTTCTTATACGTCGTAAGAACAACGGGATCACACATTAATAGAACCATAAATAAACAATAAATGTTGCTACCAAAATCTTCTCAAAATCAACTCACGGAAATCCGAATGAAATAAGAATTCGATTCTTTTGTTGAGTGCGTCACTAAAGTATAACTCAAACAAAAACGAAAACAGGTTTATTTTCACTCGAAATTGTACTCTGAGAACAAATATTCCTTAGAAATCCGTAGTATTCGTGACAATCATAATAATAACAAAACGCGGAACGTAAACTCAGATGCTCTAGCAGGACCCGATGGTTTTTACCTGATCGCGATGGAATTCAATGATTAATACGATTCGAATGGAAGAGACCGAGGGAATCTCGGCTCCGGGCAAAACGAAAAACCAACCGAATCCGTCGGCCGGCCGGGCCGAGTGGCGAGCACGACTATAATTCCCGGGAATTTTTGTGTCGAGCATCTGTCGGACACGCTGCCGGCACCGACGCCGACGCGGAGAGCGAGGCCGGAGGTCATTAAAAACACGCGCGCCGGCGAAAAACAGGCAGTAAAGGCTGACTAACCTTTTGTTGTGCCAGCCTGAGGGACTCCTCGAAGTGCTTGTGAACTGCTTGCTCGGCAGCCCTCTGCTTCTCGAGCCTCTCCCTCTCCATCTTGGCCTCCCTTTTCTCGCGTTCACGCTCCAGCCGGACTTCCGCTTCTCGCCGCTCCCTGCAACGCACACAAAAGTTTCAAGGTTACACACGGCTCTCCATGGTGCTCCGCCATCTTTCCGTTTTAATTCAACCGCACGGTTCTTCGTTTTGTTTCTTTCTT